AATGTGGTAAGGCATTAGCATAGGCTATGTATGGAAAGCAATAGTTGTAGCTAAACCCATGAGACTATACAGCAAAATATGTTGTCTAGGGCACTTAATATCATTGCTCAATTATAAAAGAAGAGCTTCCTTTATGATAAATTTAATAAGGAGCTTGATGGCAAGGAGGTATAATGTCCCAAAACTTCTCTATAAGGTATTATTAAGGCGTAGAGGAAGTGAAAGTGAGGTCAAGAAGCCAAGACGGTGGTAAAACCTGGGTAAGTGGATAAGCATTTAAATAAATATCTTCTCATTAAAGGATAAATACTAGCTAATCGCAGCCGTTGATGTGCCATTTCTGCTTTTTCAAAGGGCTAATAAGGTTGAGGGAAGCAAAATCACCAAAGGCTTTTGTTAAGGACTTATGAACTGACAATGTGGTGGTTATTGTAGCTGGTAAGGCGTGGTCCAAACGCCTTGAAGCTGCTCAAATTTCAGATTTTGCGGGTAGTTTGACTAGCGTCGTGATATTAGATCAAGTGTTTTCCTTAGACGACATTCATCGGCACAGGTGTTGCTAGCAAATAAACATTTGACGTTGATCATTGCTGCGTTTCATAACGTCGACTTTCATCTTACTGTTACCAGGTTGTAGTTTGCGAGTCTCTCAGAGTAGAAACTTAGAAGGATTCTGGATGAACAATAAGCTAATTTCTACGGTGTGTTCCAAATGGTGTTACAGGAAGCGCTAATTACGATTTCACTCGGCAATGAAGGACGCCACAATTAGTCAATACATATTGGGTGATTGAAAAGTGAAAACACTTCTACTCATTGGGCTTATTCATGGTTAGGTGCAATCTCAAGCACGAAATATTTCAGAAATGTAAAATTTTGGGAAAGAAGTGTAATTAAACAACGCTGAATATCATATATAACTGAGTGACTGAACAGATGATGGCTAAAATTCTGTCCTCTGGATGAATTCGGACGATGAGGTGCTCTTTGAACCACTTTCCATGCATCAATTTTAGGAAATGGGATGAACGTCATCAAAATGCAAGAGTTGCTTGACATAAAGGTCCGCATTTCGTCGAAGCTGTAATTTTGCCATGATTCACCGCCTTTTTGGCCAGTTGTTGAGTGCAGTCTTAGAGACAGAATAACACTGTGTTAAAACTATCAGAAGAAAGCTTCCGTAACTATAAATTAAGGCAAATTTCTTAACATTATAGAGTGTATACGAAATAATTTTAAGACCGTGCCTACATTTTAGTAAAAAAACTACTAAGATTTTGCAGAAATACATTAGTCAGAGATGCAGGTACTCCAAGTGATGCTAGAAGATGGCTTCCATGAGGAACCAAAGCTATGCCTTCACGAAGCAGGATAGACACAACATTCTTGACCAATTCCATGAAGATTTGAGAAAGTTCACTTCCCAATCTCAATGACCTGCTATGTTGGAGTGGATGCCTTCGTTGCCGACCGCTCCCTTTTGAGCACCTAGTAATTCTTCCTAGCGATTACTTCATTCCAATCTTTTTCTCCATCAAGCATTACCATGAAACTACTGGAAATGCAAGTCTTACAAGCACCGGTGTATTGCAAGGATGCTTCTACTCAAGACAGTGGTATTGTCAGTCCAAAAGTCAGGTTATAGCGCCACTAATAGGTAAGTGGTTTATGCTTCAAGAACGGTGTCAGCCACTTTGAACCACTGCTGGTGAAGCGTAGCAGAGGCATAGAAAAGCTATGGATGTGCTTTCACTTGCAAGTCTATGGGACCGATGCATTTTGTGGTAGCCCGTTCCCCAGATGCCGGACACCTTGTCAGCAGTCGCGACATTTGTCGCAAGGCGACAATCCCTTAGAGTTGTCAATGCTAAAACTATGCCGAAGAAGATGGGAGGGGTCTTCACTTTGCCAAAGAAAAGCCGTCATGGCTGTGTTCGAAAGTGAATGGCTGTGCCAATACGTTGCACTTCCTTTTTATCCTTGGTTGAATAACAGTAAATTGCGAAGTGCTGCTGGTAGTGTTTTGCAAGGCAAAGTAGATCCTGGGCTACCGCGCACTGAGGAAGTTATTGGACTACCCAGATTACTTCTGTATTATATTGTCGGATCACCTGACTTTGCTGAATTATTTTTACAACCATGTCTGAGATCACGACAACGGCGATTCTGGTGATGATGAGGTCATGAGTCCAGTACCTGGTGGATACATTTCGGAACCGATGGTTGAGATATACTTTCCTGCTAAGGCCCAAGTAAAGAGCAACACGGTACAATATTTGGTTCTTATTAATGACACAATGGTTAGGAAGACCATGCGACCTGAAAAATTGTGGGGCAAGTACTTCTCAAACTCGAGGAGCGCTTGTGAGAACAACTGATGACATCCTGAGGTGAGATGTTCGGCAGTTCCTTCTTTTAGGTACACAAGATCGATGGTTTTTTCATTACCACTCTTCCTCGGACACCGTGGGAGAGTGTAAGTTACTAGCAGCAAATATTACACATTTTTGTCGTTTTACCTCTCCATTCTTCCTTTTTAGATTCTGCAACTCGTGTTTGTATCATTACAGCCTCCATTGTTGAAAGGTGTTTATAGTGCCAACTTCGCTTCCGTACTGAGTTAACGAACTGCCCTCGCTTCGTTAATATTGTTGTTACTATTGCTTCCTTGTAAGATACATTGTTTACCTAGCTGCAAGCCTTCGTTACATTTTGAATTCTACATAATTAGAAACACGAGAAGCGCAGAAAAACGAATAACCGCGGTTCACTAATTGACTTGTTTTACTGTCTGGTTCATTGTTCTGCCCTCGTTGTCGGTTCAAGTTAGCTAAACTATGCCGCTTCTACTGAGCCATACAGTTTAACGCGTAATGACAAACCCAGCTCTTATTATCACCCAACATGATAGGCGATAATAATCTGCAATTGAGGCTATTTATAATAAATTCTCATTTAATCTATTTGTGTTGCTAAACTAAAAATTACCTTGCTCGAACCGTTTATTCCCTTTACAAAGAGAATTTTTTTGTTTATCTGATGTGAAAACCCAACTGAAAGTCCTTGATTATTCAAGACGCATTTTGGTCTTATTACATTGTCATATTGGAGTACAACAAACGAGTACGCCTTGTTAAAATTAGGAAAATTGACGACCTATTATTTTGTAACACCTTAAGTATTTTCTATAGTCCCAAAGTGGTGTACTAATTTATAAAATTTCTTTATTATTCGCATGTAAAAGATTTGGGAGGCTGCAGTCACGACTGGGCTAATAGTTATTGAACTTTCACAGAGGCGTAAAGGCATTTAATCTCTTCATCAGTTTTAACAGAACCTGTCAGGTTTACTGCATCAACTATGTTGTCCCATACAGCAGAATTTACTGTAGTTATCTAAAAACACCCTATAGCAAAAGCTTACAATTTCGACCAATCATTCCTCTGCTTTACTTTCATTCGTTGTAGGTGTAGAATTTACTCAAAGTGGGACTTTATTTCCAAGTACTCCAGTTAAAAGCAAAACCTTATTAAACGTTTACGAATGCTTTTAATTATTGTGGATTGCAAAACTTATTAAATTAATTTGACCCCAAATAAAAGGTCAGTTATTCCGACTAAGAAAGTGAAATATTTAGGCCTGTAAAAAAGAATTCCAAGGTTTTCCCAAAAATAATTTCTAAAATCGTCTTATCGTGGAATTATTACCCCATGACTCAAGTGTTTACTGCAAACCAACTGAATGAAAATCGAGGAGAGATGAACACATTGCTGGAGATGGGTCATTTTCATTTAAAATTCACTTTTCGCAATCCCAAAGCACGTTAACATTTGCTTGTTCAATGACGCTGCTGACACGGTAGTAGTTACAAATGTCATGGCGAGTGACGTCAAACCACCAAACGTTTGTCAATAGGAAGCACTTCGGAACTGTAACAGAAAGAGATTTGTCATCAACTATTTGCCCAAAGCGCATTCCAGAAATGTGTAACAATGCTTCAACAACCTTGGTATTTAGTAAGGAATTTTATTGCTTGGTAGACGCACGCATTCATTTCACAATGGTAGCAGAAAGCAACTTAGCCTACCATTCCAAAGTATTCAATAACGCCTGTAGGATATTGTTCCGTTGAAAAGCATCTTGTTTCTGTTATTATGTGCCAAAAAAATTGTTTTTAGCGTGCAACAAAGGAGTGTAAACAGGGATCAAGCATTTTCTAACCAGCTTCCAAGTGCAGCAGTTCATGCGCACTATTCATAAGATTTTTACAGGCCACTCTTGAATTTTTATAAAAATGTGACTGAATTTGGGGTTTTACCTTGTAATACCTACACGGACACTTCATTCCGCAGATTGTACTTCCGTTGAGCGTCCCGAGACTTCCCTGAAGACGAAAGAAGACAAGTGTAATACGATAGTGGTTTATCCCTTGGTATTGGTGAGATGCCACTTTTGTACTTTGAATTAGCCCTCTTGTACCTCGCTGGGTGGGCAGGCCTTTCGAACCATGCCAACAGCCCAGGCACCTTCTCTGCACTGAATATATTCCACCCGAGTATTTTGGCTTATTTGGTCTTCAGGGAGCCTCGGGACGCTATGCAATACTCAGAAGAATAAATATATTCAGCACGGGGAAGGTATTTGGGATATTAGCACCGCCCAAATACCAGCCAAACCGGCGTGGTACAAGGGCCAAATTCAAAAGTCGCTCTCTCCAATACGGAGAGATAAACGACCGTAGTACTGCAGTTCAGTTTTCAAAAACAGTTAAAAAAACCTGCATTTTTTCTGTTAGGTGCTCAAACGGCGTTATTTTACCTTCAACACTAATATAGGAAAATGTGGAGGAATACGTGTGTAATGCTTTGATAGCCTATTTAACTCTGTATATTGCAAATTCGCTTTGCAGCGTAGCCTTTAGGCCATGTTAGTGTTCTCTCAGCCCTTCTGTACCTTATTAATACACTTTCTGTTATATTACTGTAACTCGGGAGCTCCGCATGTCTGGTCCATTCGCATGTGAGTAAGGGTCCATAACCACAAATTTATTCGCTTTCAAAATCAACAGAACTTGTGCCATTATTTTTGCTGGTATCACATGGAATTAAGTATAGGCCCAAGATTTCGAACATAATTTTAAGCAGTCAAATTCACTCATTAATTTATGCTGATCACTCAGCATTGGGGTACTTCAGTTATGTTAGTTGTAACTTTGATACCTAAAATGTTTTGAATGAGATTGTCTTGCGTACCTTTTAATGTAATATAAAGAAAGACTTTTTTATTCTGCCCTTAGCTGTTTTAACCATTATACGTTTTGAGCGTACTTTTTCCCTGCGTACGGCTGCGAAGGTCGCGCTTTGTGGCTAGCACATGATCACCTTCCTTGAAGAATGGTGAGCAATATCGAGTCTTTGGAAAATATGTTGAGTAAGTGAGTCTTTTAGCTACAACTCTGCTTCGGATGCATTTAAAAGTGAAACCACGATCTCCCCTTACCCATACAGACTCTTTAGTATGCAATTAAAGCCAGATTACCCAGTTTGTTGTCTGAATGTGGTAGGAATATTTCGTATATATTCGAACTGCCAGTACTTTTAATTACTTTTGCAATATTTTGAGGATGCTCTGCCTTTTTAAAGCCGAGGTTACGAGTCCTCTGACCACACACATTGACCTTAATGCGTTTAAGAAGATTTACGACAAAATAAACAGTGACCCTCACGGTCCAGAAGTTGCTCTAAGACTTCTGGCTCACAAAATTCAGTCCCCGCAAGAAAAAGAAGCTTTAAGTGCTCTTACGGTGAGTTAACTTATTTTTCCTTAAACGATTTATTTGTTTAATACTTAGAGTGTACTTCTTGATTATCAAACAGATTCTCGATCTTTGTGTTCAAAATTGTGGTCCAGCTTTTCACAAAGAGCTTGGGAAATTCAGGTTTCTCAATGAGCTAATGAAAGTTCTGCTGCCAAAGGTAAGCAAACATAAAGTACAATGTCCAATGGCTTACAGCACCTTGGTGACCTCACTCCCCCCGTAGTGCGCGACAAGTGTATAATGCTGATGTTTGCATGGCAACGGGACTTGGGAGACACTTATCCGAAACTGCGCGAAGCCTACCAGGCGCTGAAAACACAAAATATTATCTCTGTGGATCCTGTTGTTCCAAACGAGGCTGAGTGTGATCAAGTAGCGTTTCAATTTGGTCACCTATTACTTGTTCTTTTTTGAATTACAGCAATACAATCAACGAATAGCCAGTAGGGCTGATATCTTTAAAAGCAGTCGCTACAAAGATGTAAGTGTCACGAGTACAAAACGATCTCCCTCTGTGTAGAAGCTAGCTCGCTTGCTTAAAAGCAAAAACCCAGAGGATCTTCGTGAGGCTAACGCTATCATCAAGAGCATTGTTAATGAGGTGAGTGGGATATACAGGCATGTACGATTTATATAGATCTTTTCAGCTGTGCTAAAGCGTGGATGCTGAGCATTTTGTAGCAGGCTTCTAGCATATCCTTTCACAGTTCTTTCAGGCGATTACCTCTCCAATTTTTTGATGGTTTAGGTGTGGTCGCTACTGATACAGTACTTTCCTTTTCAGTCATTTTTACTCGTTCTTTATATTTTATGCCCAAAATTCTGAGGATACCTCCTTTTATCCTTGTCGTCGCAGTACTGACTAGTTACTCATTGTTATTGAGTATTCTAGCAGTGACTGGTATTTAGCTGTAGAGTCAATACTAATTGTTTCATTTTACTTAATAAATGCATACATTCCCAAGTCAAGGTGACAATGAAAAATGTGTCAATTAAGGACGGATTTAGTTTGCTTATACTATAACAAGGCCTATAATGCGCAGAAACTTGCGGATTGAGGTGATAAGTACCATCCATTTTGCGGAATTTCCTTAATAGTGGATTTTTGAAGTTTCATAAAAGATTCTCAGCTTATTTAGCTGAAAATGTTTAGCAGATCATCGCTTTCGTTTTGGGAAGCGTTCGTTTTATCCGTTTAAAGCTGTTTTCTGGTGGATCTTAGAACATCCAAGAGACGGCTGAATGAGGTCTTCTGTCTAGAACTCAATAAGTAGCAATTGCTAGTTATGAGTAATTTTAGGCTATCTCAGGGCTTGGATGACTGTATTTGGAACAGCATAGCATGTCTCTGGTTCCCCTTCTTCTTCACTTTGCTAGTTAAGAGCGACTATACACTTTTTTGACTAAGCTTGTGGGCATATCTGAAAGGGCGTATCAGCATTGTTTATTCTCCACCCAACTTCTGGCTACCCGATGTCGCTTTTCTTCACAGGAGGACGCTCGCATTGCGAAGCAATCCCGACGCGCGCTGCAATTGGAGACCCTTCGAAACAACGCCAATCTGCTGGAGGAGATGCTTCGATGCTTTGGACCCAACGGAGAATCTTCTGCCTCCGATATCGATATCATGGAGGTACGTTTTCACCCTTCTCGTAATTTGCCTTTTCGGGTAGAGATAGACTAGCGCATTTGAAATGGAAAGAAGCAATGTGTATAAAGCAACATAACTTTTGATCTTCAGAGCTCAGGGCAACGAACAGTCCATGTGCGTATTTTTACCGCGCATCAAGTTATAATAAGGACATGGGTTTGAAACGTTTTTGGCCTAGAGACCGACTAGACTATGCTCTATCGCGTAACAAATAGTCGCTTTATGAGGTGTAGCGCCGCAAGTCATCTCCGGTGTCGTGATAAGGCGTCTTAATACATGCCTGTGCAAACTGAAAAGCCGACCATTTCTACAATTCTGATAATCATCTGCTAGAACGAATCTCCTCAAATTGTCAACTAACGCTCTAAACGTAGGTTTATTAGCTAGACCTCCCCGCCAAATAAATGGCTAACTCGTTGAAATTCTAAGATATCTGTGCTACTGCATCGGTTCAGAGGTAGAATTCATTATTTGTCCTTCTTTATCACGCAAATCATGGAACAGAATAGTGTCCGATTTTGAAAGATGGCTTAGTGGAGGTGACAATAGCTAGTAGTGATATCGGCACTGCTACTGCTCCATTTACCTCATTTGAACGGATTCAGTGTCTGGGGATTTATCACTCTAAGTAAGTCATGAAAATCTGCCAAAGAGGAAAAAATCCTAGTTTTCATAGTTAATCAACTACTTTGGCACTTTTGGTGCTGGGGTCGTACAAATATACTGAAAGTAAATGTCTAACGTCTGTAGAATTGTTTATTAATCCAATAATACTCGACCATTTGAAACCCCATCTATAAGTTAGTATTATCTAATCTACTACAAACTGGATAACCAGTAGTTATAAAGTGCGTCGAAAAATGTTATAAACCAGGTTGCCGATTTTACGACTTGGTGTTTACATGTGCGGCCTCCTCGAGGCCTCCGACCAGGTGGGTGATAGATAAAGACTTCAGAGTGGATGTCTTTATTTACTGACGTAATGGACACGCGAAGGAGGTACGGTCAGCGTGTAAACGCTTGGGGACTATAGAGCAGAGACTACCGGAGATCAAGTTTGCATCTGAGCTGCGTCCCGGTGATTCCAGTTATGGGTATGTATTGTAATTGGCTTTCAAGCAGTTACTAGCAGAGATGGAATACGCCTCCACTGGATATGGATCTACCGGGCCGGCTGCACGAGAGCACAACTTTCTAGAGATTCCGGAGATTAATAACGTATTGAAATTTCTAGAAAACTGAACAGGAATGTATTTCTGCGATTGCGAGTATCCCCAGTGGAATCGGGAATAACGGACTTTGCTTTCTGATTCTAGAGTTTCTACTTTTTTGTTGAATGTTATCAATGCTCTGTGGCATGTTTAATTGCATATTTGTTGTCAAGCTATTCTGATATTATTTTACACCCTAAAGGTCAATATTAACTTTGAAATATTCTTCGGAGCTTAGCAGTGATTTCTCTCTTTTTGTTATTATAGTAGAAAATAAAGCATTCGAAATAGTGGTGAAATTTAATCTGTATGCAGTCGTCATTACGTTTAGATATATTTTGCAATAGAAACTGTCAAGCTTTGTAAAATACCTTCCGAAATTATGCATTTTATAAATTGTGTACCTTACCTTTGCTAAGTTAGGTGCTTTGATTGTTCTCTTACGGTTCCTATACTGATTATTTTGAAGGAAATTGCTCTAAACATCAAGCAGACACGTCCAGCCGTCTTCGAGCTGGCTCTAACCGACGACGACAGGGAGGAGGGTTTCTTAAGTGAGTTTAGTATTCGGAAGTATTTTCCTTAGTTCTGAAATTGTAAATGTACAGACATTGGCATTGTCGGATTAATATTTTATTAATACATATTGTCCACTTCCTATCTATGTTATTCGTTATCTAGATAAGCATCTATTTTTGCGAAATTTGATCAATTGTGCATTGAATCTGCACAATCGATGCAAGGAAAGGAAAAGCAAAATCAACCCCTTATGGAATTTTTTTTCGGAAATAGCTCAAGCCACGAATGGAGTTTTACTAAAGTACCATCAGAATCTCATGAGATTTATGATTTACGTTTCGCCCTCAATTCTAGTATTATCGGTACTTTGTAGTTCCCTCATTACCCATCCTTCATTGAAAGTGTAAGTTTTTACTGGAGTGCATTGTAAAATTGTGCTCATTGATCAGATTTCCTTCTTCATGTATTCTTTCAGTTGCTTTCTGTGCGTTCCCCACCTTTTGAAGACAGTTTGTCTGGAAATCCATTCCTGCACATTGGGGAACAGTAGTGTAATGAGGGGATAAAATTGTGCTTTGTCGTCTTAAATATGTCATGTTCTTGACCTGTCCCTCAGGTCATTTGAACACTGAAGTAAGTTTAGTCGCCAAGCAGTGATGCTGAAAGCAATAAACAGGGTTGATGGTAGCATTTTTTCCACTTCCAGCTGATCTTATTCAGTGTTTTTCAGCAAACGCTCACAAATATAAATTTCTGTGGTGGGATAAAAGATAAGGTTATTCAAACCCCACTTTTTATTTAAAGGCTTGTTCTTTTATGCTCAGTATTGATAATTTTTCTTCCAAAAATAATGCTTATTGATATGAATTCAATACATAATGTGTAATAGTATCTAATGATTGAATTCATATTTTAAATTTCCCTTATTTCTTCCATTTTTGGGCACTTTCTGTGCACGGTTGTTCATTTAGATGATAATCCCTTTGGCAGGTATACCTATGGCGTAATAAGGAAATTAACTTTGGAATCTTTTGTTGTTTAGTCCATTCCCGATGCATTTTTTATTTCTTTCAGCTGACGTTATTGAGACTTGCAGCCGTGCCTCTAGCGCATTGGAGCGCTACGAAGTCGTGGTTTTGCACAAACCTCCATCCACCGTGGACGATCCAGCTATTATAGCCGCTCAACGCGAACCTCCACAGCAACCTTCAACGGCGTCTGAAACATCTTCTACGATGTCAGAAAACCTGCTAATACTTTCTAATGACACGCCTCAGAATTTGTTGAGTCAGGACCTTTTGAACCTTGGAATCCACGATGCCCCACCGCATCTGCCGACACAGCAGACTCAGTCTTCTTCGGCTATGAACCTTCTTGACGGCCTCCTTTGTGGCTCACCCAATGCTCCGGGTTCGTGGTTATTAATTAAGATAATCCCTCGCCCGAAGAAGTAATAGTAATTGATCTTTGGGTAGTTTGCACAAGCTGTTTCCAGTTAGATGTCTCCTTTTGTAAAAAATGTCCTGTTTATGTTGAGGTAAATTCTCTATTAGTAGGCGTTTGAACTACGGAAAGGTGTCTTTCACGAATTGTTACGTTAAATGGAACTAATTTCCTTATTTCCTTGATAACCTCTCGTAGGGAATATGGAGGAAAAATATGAGTCTTTATCTTCCTCTCACTTTGGAGTGGAAGTCTTTCAATGGGTTACGTTTCTAGTATGTCTCGTGTAAACTTGAATAAATAAGGCTTTCCCTTCACACATTTGAGTTGCATTGATATACTAACTGAAATTATTTGGCCTTCTGCAAATGATAACTTCGTAGTGCACAATTTCATCAGGATTTCACTGTTCGCAAAGCACGAATAATCTATCGGCAAGGCAGTGCACTATAATTGTGAAGTAGTTAGTGAGTCGTTTAGGTATAATCCATGATAGCTTTTTTGCTAAACTTTTGAAAACAAAAGGCACTTTACGTCACGAGTCAGGGAGTTGGCAAACAATTGATAAACCATGGCACATTCCTATAACGTGCAGAAAGAAATAAGAAGAATATTGAGGAGCTTTAATCCTTATTGTCACCAGCTTCTGCCTCGGATTTCCCTACCCGTTTGATGTTGACATCGACGAATTGTCTTATTGTCACTCGCCTTATGTATTATTGAGCGTTTTTCTTTGTGCTTTAATTTCAAAACATTTTACTCAATACCGCCGCGTAAGTATTCGTTATCAAGAATAGAGAGTCTTCTTAAAGGTAAGGCACCTCTGAGTAATTCAACTTCCGAGTTAGGTTTTTTAAGCTTTCCGAATGGCATGTCCTACTATCTCATCTTCTCCTAGTGTTGCGCAGGAGTCTGTGCGAGAGGCTTTTGCCGCCTTGGAACCGGGTTAAACTCGACTCGCAAGGCAAACATTGTTTGTTATGAGGGTTAAGATTGGGGGAAATAAAGCGTGCCGTACCGATAGACCGATGCTTATCTTGTTTTATAACGTATCTATATAAGCAATTGGATGCACTTGACAAGTCTCTACAATTTGTAACAGGTCATTGCAGCGAGCGATATGCTGCCCTGCCGCCACTCTAAGGATAACTGGAAGCTGAGGTATTTTTTGATGATATTGATAACGCATCCTAAATATGTAAAAGAAGTGGAAATGCAACACATTTTTACTCAACGAATGTCATTTAGGACGACATGCTACTTAAGTTGCTGTATTATTTACCAAGTGTACATAAACAACCCAATTCTTGCGTAAAATTTAAGTATCAAATACGATTTTTGCCTTTATGATAGAATTAGTTCATGCGCTTCGTTTGTCGTAATCCGCTGAGTGGGGGGTGCAAACTGTGGGGACTGAAAAGCCCAGATAGTTAAACATTCAGTTAAATAAAACATCAAATCACCACGAAATCGCCTTATTCTTTTTTACTTTGTCAGCGCAGGCCCCACTTAGATATTATTTTCATCTCAAGATGGGATAAAAGAAGATTCCTATCGTATGGAGAAAGCTACCTATTGTTCAAAGTTCGTGATGCAGCTTTTTCCGAGATATCTAGGCGTCGTGTCTTCTATCACATCCGTTGAGAACTCATCTGGGTAACATTGCTAAATGGTGGATGTTCTACAGCAAGCATGTTATTGACTTCTACCCCACTTCCCCCGGAAGCAAAGTAGGCAAAGGAATATCTCGGCATCAGACCATTATATAAATCGTTTCGTTTGGGGAACCATGCCAACCTCATCCTGCAGATCATTGGCAAATGGTTAGGGCCTGGCCTTGCCGTTTTAATCGTTCTATAGTGAACCCTTACAGATTCAGCGAACCAAAGTGGATGTCCTCTGCAACGTTCAGGTTTAGTAATCGCCCAACGACTCCAACCAGTTAATAGAATCGAACTGTATTATTACTGCCACATAAGCGATGCCCCCAGTCTTCTCTGAAGTCGAGATAAGCCATATTAGAATAAGTGAAGGTTTATTGCTAACACACAGAGGGGCTGTGAGAGTATAGGCACGTCCGAAATGCTGATTCGTCAAGCAAAATTGCAGACTGGTGAGTCAACGTATTTAAAAATGCGTTGAAATATAACATCAAATCGTTGCATAATACCATTTCAGGACGTCAGATGTCCCATTTTAAATTGCTTATTATAGTTTCGTGATTTTTCGACTCGTTTTACAAGGTGACCCTTTCAGCCATAACAAAAGTAGCTGTAATAACAATTCCCACCTGCGGATGAGCATCAGTCTTTGGGTGAGTACAACTTCTTTCTACACCTTGCAGCACTGACATCACTTTTCCGAAGCAGCACAAAGTCCAAAGCCAAAGGCTTGTCAGTCAATTTTATGACTTGGAGATTCGAACTTAAAAAAAATTATACGCCAATGATTGCGGACGCTAGGAGGTGGAGTGAATGCATGTGGCATGATTAAAAGCAAATTATAGACATTATAGTTGTGAAATGCGGAATTTCAAATGCAAAGTCTATTTTTAAGTCTTACTTTGCAACAGAACAATGATCGACCTAGCCATGTTCTTTTGAACTACTCATGATCCGAATTTCCAGTAAGTCTGAAAGTTGGAGCGGCAGTGATGATATTGCCAAAAGCTCTCCCTATAGTTTTATCATTTTGCATATGGAAAGAGAGGTCCAATTTCCCAATTTGCATTAGTTGACCGAGTTCTCAAGCAAACTTTATCCCCACGATATCCACCTACACTCAGTCAGCTTGATTCGAGTAATCCAATATTGTTGGATTTGTCAATACATCACCCTTTTCTGTTGATTAAACCTCACTTAAAGATGTATTTCCGCACTTTTACTAGAATTTGCCCAAAATTCCCATTCAAAACATTTGATTACATCCGTGGAAGCTATTCTTTTCGTCCTACAACTAGTTTTTTTGGTAACTAGTGGACCCTCCAGCACCCAATCCATTCAACTTATCAAATACAACAGATGCACTATCACCACCGCCGTCACAGCTCCTGCTATCAACTCCAATACAGTCTACCGACTCGTCACCCCCAAAGTTGGCCACCAATATCACTGGAATTTCTTCGAAATCCACGCCGAAAACTTCAATGACCGCCGTGTTCAGTGAATTGGATAGTATGGGACGGCAGATGCTCGGTCTAACTACCACGTATGTTTACTATCCTGAACACGTAACTCTATCCCTCTGTCCCCTTTACTTTATGTGAAATCCATCCCCTTAGCCAGCCCCGGAATCTTATCAATAATTCTTCAGTACCACGTTTCTTCAGTCGTAAATACATTGAATATTGTGGCCATCTGGTAGACAGCTTGAAAAAGATAAGATAGCAGTCGCTTATCAGCATTCGCTATCTTGTCCTCTGCTTAGTCCTGACGTAAACAGATTGGCACTGCATACGTTCAAGAGCTCACACAAATTATTATTCCAGATCTGTCTCTCATTTGACGGATTTTTACTGTCCTAATACCGTAAGAAATTAAGAAGCTCTCTTGACAGCGTATGTAAACTCGTTGAAATTACAAATGCTTGTGAATGGTCCTATTCACAATTCGTATTGGAAGGGTCGTCTTGTACAGTGACAGGTCGACTATCCGGAATCAGGTATTCCGCGCCCTGATTGTTCACAGAAATGGCTACCGTGGGATCAGCAATCATTCAGAAATGGTGACCGGGATCGTTATCGATGTACAGGCTCACGATCGTCCTTGAAACCTTACGTTCAAACCATTCAAAGGTCTTGCTGCTTTTGAGCGTCGCCACTATAGTCATGTCGTCCCTGAAGTCTTCCACAGATGAGTATCGGGGGCTTTTACGCCTTGAGTCATAAGACACTTGGCCGCCATACGCTCTTTCAGGCACGCACACGCCATCAATGCTGTCGGGCATCTCGATTAACCGCCAAATTGTCTGGCAGTTAGCATCCACAAGAAGCTAGACATGGTAGCACCTACTACTGTGATACCGCTACGGTAGCACCCCTTCTATATACGTATCTGAAAGAATAGAGACCACGGTTCGGTCTGTGTGCTGATTTGGGAATACTTTGTAATGCACCTACTTTTTTCAGTTTATGTTTCCCTTGAGTAAATTTGCAGAGATGGCATTTCTCAATATATCGGGTAAAATCAACCATACCTCCATCGAAATCTGTTGAATTTTAGAGCTGTCTGTACTTCTACATTGGCTCCAGGAAGAAATTTACGTAGGAAAAATTTTTATCCTATTGGAGTGCGATTGTGTAAATGAGAAGCCAATCTGCGATAGAAAAGGGCACTGCCTGAATGGCCATCCTTGTTATCCATTGGTTCCTATGTAGAGGTGCACGGCCAAAATACCCACAATCAAGTCATGTCTAAGCCTCACTTCACTACCAAATATGGTCGGCTCGTGAGTGCGGCTGCACCTTAGCATTTTGTCATATTCTAGTTTTTCCCTAGACCCGAACATCCCGTTTGTCTGCCGTTGGTCGAGGTCACACCCAAAGCTCATGTTCCTGCTGCAGCCATCCGCACGATTGAACCGCATGTGTGCTTGATCTAGCAAAAGTATTACCAAGGTTATGTCTCCGCATTCACTACCAATGTTTCAGGGGGAAATCGACTACCATAATTCGGGCTGTTGTTGTTCAGGAATTAAAGACGTGTTTTTTTTTCACTCGAAAACGTTTCTAGTCTGCTTTACTATTTTTAAATTAAACAAATCTACAACACGATTCCGTTTGACAAGTTATCACGTATACGAGACAACGGTGTCAGGTGAAATTGGGACGTCACATGTATATGAAGACATCGCTCAACCTTCAAATTACTCACATTTTACACACAAGATAAAAAGGCAGTTTTTCATTTCTGAATGCCCTCCATTTGCTCATTTCGTCTCGCTTCTGGTCGATCGAGTGCTCAAATTCTAGACGTTTTCAGCTCTTACCCTGTATTAATGATATCAGATGCTGCCAATAGAAAAACACAACGGTTGCCCTCATTTACCTTCGCCTTCCTTTTAGCTCATCAGGCACTGATGCAGCTGTAACCAAGGAAACGAAGTCTTTGGACCAGCCTCAACCGTCGATAATGATGAAAACCAACATTACAGATCTTCCATCACTCTCCTCCCTTCCAGCACTAACCTTCTCTGCTATCTCTCCGCATTTTCAACACACTCAACCCATCAAAGTTTATCCACTCAACAGCAGCAACGGTGGGGAAGAGGAAACGTCGAAACAGCAGCACCAGATGGTGGAAGTGGTGCTTCACTGCACCGCCAACAAGCCCCACCCCTCTGTGTCGGTTTTCGTGGCAGTGGTTACGAACCGCAGTGCTCTGCCGCTCACAAATCTTCTTCTCCGATTTGGGGTTGAGAAGGTTTGTTGTTTTCTGCTTTATTACGCGGTAATCCGGTTTGCTATACCTTTTAGAGGTTCGCCATTAATGACTTTGGATTTAGAGAATATCAAATAGTACATTTTCGTCCACCAACCTCTTGGGACTTGGCGGTGAAAAGTTTCATCACTGGGCTTTTTTGATTAAGAAATCCACTTGAATGCCTCCATTTGTAGTTGTGCTATTAGCCGACGTGCTCATCATTGTCAGACATGCCCTTGCCACTTGCCAATCTCTTTCTGTGGTTTAATGTCGAAAAGTTTGTATTTTTGTACCCCTTGGAGGCAAAAATTTGTCTATAAGTTTTTGCATTACCAGATGCTATATATTTTTTCCGGCGTTGTTAAATTCCTCCAAACGTACTTCCGAATTATAGATTCTTTTTTTCTTTTTCAGTTTTATCTTAGTGTGCACTTTGTGCTGTTAGGTTTTTTCAGTTGACCTAGACAAATGGTACAATAAATTGTATTTGGCACCAAAATTGCTGGTGTCTGCAGTATTAATGCCTATGATGATATTATTTTAAACTAAAAACCATAAATTTGAAGTAACATTTTGTCGGAAATTTTTTATCGCCAATTTTTGACTAATTGACATATTGCTGTCTGAGAAGGGAGGGGATATTCCCGGGTATGCCTCGAAGGTGGTGTCTATTCCAACATTTATTAATTAATAGCAAGAGTTTTGGCGCCATTCTATCGTTCCATGAGTCTCGGATCATTTATGCCAGTCAAAAGGGATAAGTTTACAACGAATCTGATCGGATTCATTGCGAGCTCTATGTAGGAGTAGGACTATTTAAAGCATACTTCGAAGTGTGACAAAATTGTTGGCAGAAATTCATTTAAATGAGAAGGGAATGTAGTGTCAAATATTAGTCTTTACTGAGGCCTTTGCAAAGTATTATACCAATTCTTTAGCGGCAAAAGAATGTTATGCTTGAAATGTCTGGCTTCCTCAAACTATGCCAAGTTTAAGAGCTGATATTATCTTTGATGCTTCAAATCTATCCTTTTTTAGTGTTTTTCTCAACGGAGGAGCAACTTCATTATCATCTCGCATGTCCGTTATAACTTGAACTGTCTCTTTTCTTGCGAAAACTATACATAAGTGAAATACCAACGAACGCTGCTGGGCTGTTCTAGTTATGTCAGGCTAGTAAATGAACATGACACATTGGGTACATGGTTTTATGGGCTCTATTTTGACTGGCGATTTCAGCCTTACGAGATTGAGCCCATCTTCATCAAAAAATTGGCAAATTAGAAGAATATATTGAATTTGTTATCACCATCAGAACATGAGGCAAATCGAGAAGGCCAGGCATTAAAAGAACTCAGGTCAAAGATGAATGTACTGTCGTAAAGTTGGCCTCTCCTTACTATCATATCGTACTACTGCGAGTGGTCAGATCCTAAGCTTTGGGTCTTTAATTCCTTTAGCCTCTGAAAGTTCGTCAGCTTCCTCTCGCCACATCCAGTCTGCCGGCCTTCTGCTCCTTCCTTCCCCCAAGCCCGGCGCAACAGATTATCTACATCCAACGACCACCAGCCCTTGAAGTGAGTTTTGGCGTTTAATCATCTTTTTCCTTAACTCGCTGTTGTCAAATCCGTGTTCACTTGTGCTATTTCAGGTGAAGTGCGCCAAGTTGAAATTCCAGTTGTCCTTCACACTAGAAGAAGAGGATGTCCTCGAGTCGGGCGTTGTGTCGGTGCCTCTGGATTAGGCCGATAATAGGACTCACAGTTGATGTGTCCGTTTCCTCTGTGATTGTTTTTTTTTCCTTCCTTACCCATCCTCACTTTCCTCCGGTTTGTTTTTTGATGCGGAGCTCGTAAAAGAAGGCGTCCTGGTGAACGCATTTGGTTTTGTAATCTTGTGTGGGTAAGTTTGTTACGGCCCAACAGGTGGCACTTCTCGCCATGGCGACGGAGTTTGATTTCTGCCTAAGTGGTGTGATGTCGGTCCCTTGAAAAATTAGACGGCGGAAAGTGGGTTTCAGAAGTGGTAGTTTGCGTATTAGGCTATTGTGGGGAGGCACTTGTGTTTTGCTGTTTATTTTCACTATGTTGCTGACAAGTATATGGCACTAACTATATTGTCGACATGGTTGACATGTTAGTACATTTAATCGTATGTGGACTTGGCGAACCAGCATATGAGTTTGTCGACTTCTTAAAAGTAAACTAAATTGAGATGGACTTCTAAGAATCTTATCAAAACAGCACTAAGAGGCAGCAAACATGAACTCTGATTACTATAATGTCACCTTTCTTTTTCACATTAATCCGTACTTAATTCGCTTACCTTTCTAAATCTGAATATAGCAAGCAAATAACTGAAGAATTCATGTGGCACTATTCTGCCATTTTGGACTTAAGCACTGACTTTTTATTTTCATCAGTCTGATTTTTAAGCTTAACGAAAAGTCCTTTGAATTTACTGATTAGAAGGGCAGACACTTATACACTTCCATTTTAGCTGGCTAGGTCATTGGGGTCTGTCTAGCCTAGCGGTTGCCCACACCTGGGAGACCAAGCGTAGTTCTTACTTCTAATGGCGAGTAAAATAGATGAAGCTGAAGAGCTGGTACAAAAGGCCCAGAAATGGTTGGGTGTTTTACTACGTCATTTTTTAGTTTGAAGACGTCTTTTTTGAAACGATCGCCTGATATTGACAGCGCATTGGAATATTACGGCAGGGCTGCAGTAATTTATCGGAACGCAAGGATGCTCCAAGAATCGGCCGATATTTACATGCAGGTACCGAAATGGATGTAGGTAACGGTATAGATTGCCGACCTTCATGGGAAAAAACAGTCCTTTTTCCATTGCGCCAAAGCCTACGAAACAGCATCTCTATTGTTTCGTGACATTGGGAATTTTGATAAAGTGGTTGAATGCATTAAAACTGCTGGACAACTTTTAAGACAAAGTGGTGTTCCTGATTCTGCATCAATTCTCTACTCTAAAGGTGCAAAGTAAGTGCCGTTTTCATGTAGTCTTGTGGAGGCACGTTTGACTCATCCTGGCGTTGTCACTGGAATGAAATAAATCATTTTTTTTAAGCTTTTCGACACAAGGTGACCTTTTGTATATTTTGTGCATATATTTTCTTCGTATGGATTAATCCGTTTGTTGCCTGGCGTGGAGTCCAAAAGCATCTTTCTGTGATCTACACAACCTGTATTCTTCTGACTTTACCATATGAAATGAAATCTTGGATTAACAGGAGGCTTTAAACGTTCTTTGCATATTCTTTGAAAGCACTAAGTGCTATAATGAGAATGGTTAGAAAACGCTTCATCATAGTAGACATTCATTGCAAAAATAATTTTTTAATGGGTAATAAGGCTTTGTAGTCAAAGTACTTTAAAGGCCAAAATGGAGAGTCATTAAATTTGACGCTAAAATATAGCGCCTGATGAACAATCGGTTTGTATATTCGACTGGTTTTTTTCTCAAAAACAAGGCGACAATTATTGTAAGACTTTTTTCTGTGTTTTGTTTATCAGGAAATATGTCAAGTTAGTCTAACTAGGAGTATTACCCCCTTAGAGTATTGGAAGGAAGTATGCCTGAGGAATCAGCCCGATTTTACGAGTGTGCAGCAGATACATCTGAGGTAATTTCACAGTGCGCACGACTGTGTCTAGTTATAATGAAAGAAACTACATTCCTTCCTTTGTTTCTTTAGTTAGAGGAAAAGTACCTGCAAGCGGCGGACTTTGCCGGCCAGTCAGCTCGCCTGTGGACGCGTCTGCGACGATTCAACGAGGCTGACCGTCTCCTGCGCTACCAGATGCGTCTCACTTCTCTCGGTGCCAGCAGAGAGAACGTCTACACTACCTACCAGGCCTGTGGAAAGGCGGTCGTTGCCTTGGTGATCCTGAAACTTGTTCAAGAGGACTCAGTAGCTGCGGGGAAGGTTTATGAGGAAGCTGTGAGGTAAGCGCTCTTCGTTTGGCCCTTTTTGAAGGTCTTAATTGCCTTTTTCTTGTCGTAGACAGTATCACTTCGATGAGACTGATGATGCAGCGGCGGTGGCGAAACTGCTCCAGGCCTGCGAACCCTATGACTCTAACGCGGTGGCTAAGGTGATCACCTTGCCGACTTTTCGAAATCTGGAAACGGAGGTGAGTTACGTACCCTTTATTGCTGGTGCCCAAAGAGTGACAAGTGGATAAACACCACCCGTTTTATACTTCTCAGAAGTAGCTCTATTCTTTTTTTTTGAGCATTTGCCTTGGGTAACATGGCAGCTTTAAACGGCGTAAAAGATGATTGCGAAAATTGGAAGCTCACCCAAATTTGCAAAACGTCATCAAAATCTTTTCCTCATTATAAGCTGGCTCCTAACGAATTGTTCTCTTTAATGTTCACATCTGAGTTTTTTCCTGTATTGGTTCCCAATTCCATCAAATGCGAATTGGGAATGGTTTAAAAAGAAGTTTGGTTTTGATGGTTCTAGCTTTCTCCAGTGCCAAATCGTTGCAAATCCTCTTATTTCTATGTGTTTCTTGACAGGCTTCTAACAATCCATTATGATCTAGGGTCTTTTGTGTAGACTCTTTGTTGTAATACAATTAAATCATTTAAGTCGTAGAAGGAGAAGGAAGCCCAGTTGGTATTGCATCGTACGAATTAATTGTTAAGTGCGGAAGGCTCGACTTTATAAAACATTTTAGATTGAAATAGTTGGTTCAATTTCTTTTCCAAATTGCACATTTAACTTTCCTACTTCCGATTCTCGATCGCCACATCACTAAAGCGGTTTCTCGTCGTGCTGAATTCTTCACATAAGTAGTATATTTCTATCCCGGATGCTCTCGCCATCAGTTGCGTGCGTGTTATCTATGGAATCTCAGAGGAAAATCACCCACATTTCAAATATGTCTTTGCTCTAACGCGATACCGATCCCGTATTTTTCTTTAATTCATTTCCTTTTAATTAAATCAGAGCATCAGATATGGTACGCGCGGATTCATCTGAGGAATTTAGGGTGCCACAAATGTGCTACACTAGCCGTGGTTATTTTGTTTTCGTCGTGGAGGTTTCCTAATCAACGTAAAAGGCATTGTAAGAAGCTGTTAGGCTCACAATTTAAGCGAATTTTCACCCTAGCCTTCAGATTTCAGGCCATTTCTCAGCCAAATAACACCAGAAATGGTCATGAAGCCGTTTTAGGCTTCAACAAGTCACCCCTCGCATGACTTTTATTTTACCACGAAGTAAATACTCTCTTCATTTTCGTTTTCTAACGCCATGCATCTTCATATGCCACTGTTCTACCCCCGCCATGATTTGGCAACGGCAACTCATGCATCAATTTCTGTATTTATTCTGCGTTTTTGACTATTTCTTGTATGAGTAACGATTATCGTAGTCAGATGTATCTTTCGATTTTTACTAGTGGATCTAAAGGATATAAGTCGCATTTTAAGGAGAGAAAACAAACCTGCTTTAAATATAAAAGACAAGTTGTTTTAAAGTTTTTTGTTGCGTAAATTCAAGTAAGGAAGTACTCTCTTTAAAGAATCTAGGTACAGCACCGTCTTCGCCATTGGCAGTACGCCCTGTTCTCGACAGTAATGAGCTTCTTCAAGATAATAAACTATTTTCACTATCCATCTGTCATTCTAAACAACTTCCTAGCTTTCAAATGTAAGGATCGTATAGGTATTTTTTTAAAAGCCTTGTACATTGATACGATACGTGTGTACATAAGGCTGCTCTACACAAATACCATCAGCCTCGATGTCAAATCATCATGAAGTAAATGCAATTTTCGTTACAGCTTGCTGGTATGGCTTGTAACCTGTAGGAGCCTATTAAAATACCGCTGTTTATGAGCATTAAAAATCGGAAGTATGTTGTAGGCGCTTCCCACGAAATCCGTTGTGTAGCGTTTGAGGAAGGTGCGGTAGGAGAAAGTACCGTCCAGAGACGGATTTTAAAAACTCGTTTTCAA